GAAGACTACATCTAATAAGGTCCTTCTTGTCTCCTTAGATTTACTTGGGTTTTGATTAAGTTTTCTTTTCTTATGTTCATCACCCACCCTTTTTCGCTCTAAAAAAAAAAAACAGAAACTAAACCACAGAAACATTCTCCCTCTACACACACATTTTTAGTTTTTGCAATGTTTGTTGCCTCTTTTGTTAACCGCCCACACTTTCTCTCTCTACTCAGAATTGGACACTCAACCACAGATGTGCGAAAGATTTCTTAAACGTAACTGCTGAGGCATTTCTAATGGATTTGTGGTACACAGAAGGTATGTGACTCAAAATACATCTACACCCCAATTTCAAGACAAGTGTAAACTTCAGTGGCTTTCAGTAACATTACTGGAAATCTAGATCTATCCAGTGCATCTCTTGTCATTTTTCACATACAAACTCACAAATTCAAATTCAAAATGAGAAAACACCACCCCCAGCTGCTATAAATTTTAGGAGAACATGTGGAAGGTGGGCTCTGCTGCCAAAGAGACTTTGCTGACTGAAACAAATGATACACTGTAGCCATCAACCCACCATGCCATGAAGCCAACTTGCAGTTAAATCTTTACTCCACCAATCTGTTGATTGAATAGTGATGTTCTGTATGGTATACCAAGGTAGGTTAGTGGGTGGAGGACAGGTTATATTGCAAACCCGGTTTTATTATTCAGTGGAAGAGCAGCAGGCCAAAAGAGGAACTGCTGGTTCACCACAGAAATGCCTCATTCTTCCAACAGATAAAGATGACATTGAGATTCTGGTATGTCAAAGAAACGATTGGCTGATGTTCACAATATTACCAACTATATTACATATCCTGTTACCTAATTTTCCTCTTATTTTCAGTATACATACTTTTGAATATATACTCCCTGAAATAAATATTTAAAAGTATGTATTTTTGAGGAAATTAAAAAGGGGAACTACCCCCTTTCTGAAGTCACAATGTACAATACAGGCATTTCAAGGGTCGCATTCTATAGTCTTTAGGATTTGAATTGACTTTTGAGCCAATCCATATTTTTCATAAGCACCATAAATTCTCCTTATAGGACTGAGGCAAGAGTCATGTAGTCCTCAGATATATCTTCTCATTATTCACCATTGGCTTTGTTGGCTAGAACTGCTGGGAATTGTATTCCAATAACATCTGGAAAACCACATGATTCCCACCCATCTTAGAAAATCTCACTGCAAATTTTAGCAAGTGAAGACCGTGTGATTTACTTTAGTTGATTTACCATTCAGTAGTTGATTCAATGAGTTTACTCTTGTTGGTACTGGCTTCTAGATTTAGGCTAAAGGCACAACCAAGAACCCTTTCAAACAATTCCACTTCAGGGTTGCATACTCTGGATTCCTGAAATTTACAATTTGGTGGGGAACTACAGTTCTGTAACTGAGAATTCTAAATAAGGTCCGTTCTACACTGTNGTGTAGAAGGGGCCCAAGCCTTCCTAAACTGCAATATTTCTTAAGAAGATACTGTGGCAGTTGAAGTATGATCATAGTGTTATAATGATATACTCTAAAAGGACCCAACTGAGATCTCTCTATCATACTCATAGCCATTGCAATGATCAAACAGTAGTTCTTCCCAACAGCACATAGTACTACATTATTCACCTTTTGGTGTGTAGCATATTCTTGGTTTTCTCTTCTCTCCAGCAAGATTCTTGGAAGTGAACTGTGTTTTAGAGATCTCAACGAAAGAATAACTGGTGTCTCTCTACTAATATTTCACCATTCTGCCTGCAGAGTGCAGTCCATTCCACAGGAACAAGATACTGAAAAATTTACGTAGAAGCAGAGCCATAAAATTAGGACAATAACACACACAGCATATACTCCCCGCAGCAAAAAAAAAGCACCCTTTACAGGTTATCATTCTGTAATGTTAGCCTTAACAGGGTCAAAGATTCACATCTGTTAACAGATCACTTGTATTCGGGGAAATATGCTATACAGACACA